CTATGAGATTGTTTACAAAATTCTAGACAGCTGCTTGCAAATGAGAAAATGGCATTCCCAATATTGGAGATGCTTTAGAGTATCCTCCACTCTTCATTTTAATGACCATCTGCTCCATTTCCAAATGAGGCACCAATTCAGTTTAATTTTATACACAATTAAGAATGATTTTTTTTTAGTCCCAGTCCTTTTGGGCTTCTAAAATAGAAGGAATCACCCACATGCAAGCACACACTTAGAAAGATGCATAGTCTCTGGTAGGTCCACACCAGAAGCTATAACAAATAGGCCCTAAATTCCTAACCCTTAACACAATTGGTGGTTACTTATTATTTATGTAACAACCTAATGGAAGCATTGCTGCTTGGCCAGAGAGCTTTTCACCTGGTGATTTGGGAACCCAGGCTTTCTGCACCCCATGGGGCTGCCACCTGGGGGTCTCAGAGTTCCTTTAGTGATGTCAGCAAGGCAAAAAGCACAGAGGAGGCATACCCCCTTCCTCAAAACCCTGGCTTCCAAATGAAGCATGTCACTTCTACTCATTTCACATTACTAGAAATTTATTATGAGTTCATGCCCAACTCTGCGGAAGGCTAGGAAATGCTGTCTGACTATACGCCCAGGAAGAAAAAGGAGAAAACACATTTGAATGAATCATCAGCAGTTTCTGTCCCACCTTTGTCTTCATAGTACAAGGCAGAGAGATGCTGTAAGATTAGTAAAAAGTGCCCTCGGGTATGGGAAGAAGGAGCTTAATTTTCACAGTGGACATCTGGAAAGTCGTGTGGAGGAGTGAATTTTGACTGGGACTTGAAGAATACGCAAGTCCTTGATAGGAAGAGAGGGTAACAGGCATAACTGAGATTAAGGTCCGTGCCAAGAGAGATGAGGTCTGAAGCCACGTGGGAGTGAGAGGGTTGGGAGACACGTATGCCTGTGCCTTGGTCTGTGCATAGGCAACTCAGAGTCAACAGTAAACATTATTTTAATAATCTCTTTTTCTTGGTTTTCCCGTGCTCCTTCTTTAAGTAATTAAATAACAAACAATTCTACCCTCCACAATGAGTATCTTGGTCCCTAATGTGAAGATATGAAATAATTAGAGGGTGTACTGTGTACAAACCTTAATGTCATGGAAACTTCTATTTTCAAGACTGTGCTAATTACACAGGATGAGGCGGAACAAAGGGAAGATGCACAATTAGCAGAGCACAGCTTATTATAACCAGCTCTGTTTAGAGCCTCTTCTGAACCTAGGTATGTAATAAATCAATATGTAGTAGTGACCTAGTATTTAGTTTTTAGAGAAATCTAAATTTTGGAAATGCAAGATTTGGAATGTGAGATTTGGCCATTTGGAATTTGACTGTGGGGATGGTACAGGAGACGTTTACATTCTGGTCTACATAATAAAGAGGAAAAAGCAGGGTCTTTAGAGGGAGAAGGCCGCTTCCTTGGTCTGCCACTCATTGGCTAGGCAAGCGTAACCTCTCTGAGCTGCTTCCTCCACTGTGTGGGGATAGGCGATAATAATGCATATGAAAGCATGTAGCGCTGGGCCTAAACTATATTAGGAACACAATTTTAAATTTAGATCCATTTCCTTTCCCCTTCCATTTGCTTTCCATATCTTAGTGGCTTAAGACAATTAAAATCTGTTGTTAAGTCCATCGGGGGGCTCTGGTCTTTGCAGTCACACAGACTCAAGGCTGAAGGAGAAACCACATCTGGAGCCACGTCACAGTCAGAATGCCACAGGGAAAGAGAGCTAGGGAGTCTTGCAACAGCAATTAAATGCTCCAGCATGGAAGTCCTACAGATCCTTTCCACTCACAACTCATTGGTCATTCCACAATTCTTTAGTGAGATTTCATTCATCTCAAATAAAAATCCTTCAGACTTTAAGAACTGTACAAGAATGACTGTTAACAACAGACAGATGTACTTTCTCTAAAGCTACTAAACTTCAATACAGGCAGTTATAATATCAGGGGCTCTATCTGAGCAGTGTCAAGGATAAAAAAGTACCTTCCTAGGCTGGGTGCAGTGGCTCACATCTGTAATTCAGAACTTTGGGAAGTCGAGGTGGGTGGATCACCTGAGGTCAGGAGTTTGAGACCAGCCTGACCAATGTGATGAAACCCCATCTCTACTAAAAATAGAAAAATTAGCTGGGCATGATGGCACATGCCTGTAATTCCAGCTACTTCAGAGGCTGAGGCAGGAGAATCACCTGAACCTGGGAGGCGGAGGTTGCAGTGAGCAGTGAGCAGTGAGCAGTGATGCCACTGCACTTCAGCCTGGGTGACAAAAGTGAAACTGTCTCAAAAAAAAAGTACCTTCCTTGTCAAAACTCATGAAGACTGACTCAGCTCTTCTTTTCTTCCAAAGAAGATAAATTGCATAGCATGCAATTTGCTTTTACTACAGGTTTTGTTTTGTTTGCAAACAAGATCTTAAATGCAAAAGACTTAAACAACCAAGGTCCTATGATGAGGCCCATATAAGTTGGGCTTTTCCCTAGATTCTGTTGTCAGAATATTAGAAATTGATATGAAAAGCTGAGAGCTTAAAAATTGCACAGTATCATATACGATTCAATTGCAAAGTGCTGTGTGCTGCCCATTCCAAGCCTTAGCTATGAATGGCCTATACGACCAAGTGCATCTCAGTATTGACAGAAAGGATAGAGGCTCTTAACTCTTGGGAAAGCATCAGGATTGCATTATCATATCAATAGCCCACATGCAAAGTTCTTGATGAAAACTATCATAATCCAGAGGCAGAGATCAAGTATGAGAGTTTGATTTGTGTAAACAAATCAAAAGCATTTAGAGTCAAGCTACTTATCCGTCTTAAAGCATTGCCAGGAATATAAACATCAGAACAGCCTAAGAGGCAGATAGCCTGGAGTAGAAGGAGAACTTTTAATGTGCTAGTTTTTCTTGCTTTGCTATAATCAAGCCATATTGGCTATCTTTCAATTTTACAAACCAGCCAAACTTAACACTTTTTCTCTTAAAGCTTCTATAAATCATCCTCTGCCTCTTCAGAGATCCCTCTTTATAATAGGTTAGTCTCAGTTGTGCTGTAATAACAAATAGCTTTCCATATCTTAGTGGCTTAAGACAATTAAAGTTTGTTGTTTGCTCAGGCTACAGGTCCAGGTCCACTGTGGGTCCATTGTGGGGCTCTGTTCTTTGCAGTCACAAAGGCTCCAGGCTGAAGGAGAAACCACATCTGGAGTCACATCACCAGTCGGAACGCCACAGTGAAAGGGAGCTAGGGAATCTTGCAAGAGTAATTAAATGCTCCAGCATGGAAGTCCCACAGATCTTTTCCACTCACAACCCACTGGTCATCTCACATCCCATGGCCCCAGGCTACCTGGTCCTCTCATGTGCCTGCAAGGGAAGGGCCATGGGGAAAGCTTTCTTGACTCTCACACCTCCCCTCACCATCCTTTCTAAAGCAGGTTCCACTTCTTCACTGCCTGAGCACCCTGTTTGTTTTCTTCATAGTGCTTATGATTTGTAATTGTATTATTATTTTATTTTCTGTTTTGTCTGTAGTCTGTTTCCTCTGTTGGATGCTAAGATCCCTAAGAGGAAGGATTATTTATACCAGCAGGCTGATTCCATAAAGCTGTTCTCAAAAGTACCCAACCAGACTCATATATTTAAAATAGTCTATTTTTGTCTTGAACTTGGAGAATCCTTATGGTTATCATCTCATGTCTGTTAGTCTGTGTCCACCCATTTGGGCTGTGTGCAGACCCTGCTCCCCTGCTCCTCATCAGAGGGTCCTCTTGCTGCCCACTGTCAGGGGTTGAAACAAAGACCAACTGCACGTTCCCTCCAGTGCTGTCAGTAAGTGGAGGGAAGAAACCTATCAACTGAAGCCTTACAGGAATCTCACAAACGCTGTGAAAACCAACATACCCAGTGCAATTACTATACATTTTGTAAATGAGGACCAGGAGAGAGGAATTTGGTGAACCGGAGTTTTATTGAATTTGCTTTTGGCGAATTAGCTCACAGGGAATTGGCTCAGAGCTACCCGCCACCTTCCACTAACAATTATATTTCAGGGTCCGATTCTGCTTGGCATCTTGAAGACATTCTGAAATAACTGTCACTTTCGTGGACATGGAAACTGTAGTTTAGAAAGGTTAAGTAAGTGGCCCACAGTCACAGAGGCTATGATGGGAAAGGTAGGAGTGTCATCCAGGCGGCCTCTTGCCAGCGTGGCGCTTCCTTCCCTGAATCACAGTCCGGATAGGCTGCAATCATTTTTATTCATTTAACATGCCATTTTGGGCAAAAGTGTATAGAGGAATATTCTCAGTATTTATCTTGCTTTTTATCACTTTAAATAAAAACATTTTAACAATTATTCACTATTTTAGAGAATTTTAATAACTGTACCATCATTTTCTATACAAAATCCTCCTATTTTCAACTGAAATAAGAAATGATTGAAGTACAATTGCCTGTGTGATGGGTTTATTTCAGCAAGGAAGATTCAAGAATCAATTAGTGATGGCCCTGGAGAAATGGCTTTTAAATGGGAATTGTCTTAGGTAACCTAAAGCATATCTTTATTCCCCAATAGTTCATCTTAAAAGAAGCCACCACTAAAATCAGTCAAAGGTTTCATAGACACCTGTATATACAAATTTTTTTAAAAGACACTATTTTTTTAAACTGTGTTTTTTTTTTTTTCTCCTGTATCTTTCAGAAAAAAAGACTTTTTCCTGCACATCCTGCACATGTATCCTGGAACTTAAAATGAAATTAAATACAAATTTTTAAGAAGAAATAAGGCTTTTATGGCAAGGATATTTTGCATACCATAGCAGGTAAACATTAATAAAGAAAAAAACTTAGACCTTTCTCTCTGCTCATTTGTCTGTAGATGCTGATTTCTGACTTTGTAGAGTTGCTGTTATTTTTCCTTGATGCGGGGCTGCATAACTGAGAAATGTGTTTCTCTCTTACCTGTTGGTTCACATGTGCTGCGTTTTCCTTCTTCTTACTAAAAGTACAGGAAATCAAGCATGGTCTCAATCTGTCTGAGGAGGAGATTCAAGGTGCCCATGCCAGGAACAAACTGCATAGCCCTAAGTGGGCAATAAGAAGAGAGAAAAATTTAGAAATAATGGAAATTAATTGGGTTCAGAGAAATGAAAACAGAACTGCTACTTTAATAATACTCTCTAAGTACAATACAAAGAATGGCATGGGGGTAGGCGTTGAATAGAGGTGGACTGAATGAAACAAGAATGAATAAATTAACTTCATTTAGGGTTTGAACTGGTATTAGGATTAGAAACTCAGATGCCTTGAAGCCCAGGCAGGTGGTATCAATGAGTGAGCAGATGGGGTGTGAGATAATAAAGACTGGTAGGCACTGTGGTGAGCTAGTAAGCCCATGCCCCATCTGAACGGGCAGCTACTGCTCAGGTCGAGTTGATGATTTCACTGATGCCACAAAGATAAACAGGCCCAATGATGTCACAATCTCCAATTTTTAGGGAAAAACAGAAGTACAGATTTTTAAATGTTAAATCTCTTAGTATTGTACTTTAGGATCTAATTTTTAACACAAAACAAAACTTTGGACAGGTCAAACAAGGCTAAAACCAAAGCCCATGTGAGGGGTCAGGATTGGCTCATGGTGACCAGCTTTTATCTAAAGTCTACTGCAACATCTTAACTTTTCAAGTGATTAAAAAAAAAAAAAAAGGTTCAGAGGGCTGAAGCTTCTTTGGGCAAAGACATTTGGTTCATTCGTGACACAGCTGGGATTTTAGGCATGCGCACCTTCCCTTTCAGTGAAGGCATTTCACTGTCACTTATGTCCACTCTGCCACTGGCTGAATCTGATCAGACCCATTTTAATAACAGGATGGAAGCCAACTAGACCTGCCTTCTGTTGATCAGATTCTTGGGTCTCAAGTTATATGTATATAAAATTTTGTAATGAAAGGCAGAATGGTCTATGCTAACTGTCCATATCATGGAATAAGTTCTGGGTAATGGCGAGTGACTGAAATCTGATGGGTCCTCTTATGAAATGAAACTCTGATTACAGGCATTTTTGTTTTGGATGGTGTTTAAGCATGTGGCACCATGTGAAGAATACCGACAGAGGCACAAGTGGGTTCCAATGGATCCATTTGCTGGTTCCAGTTTCTGTTAAAATGCACTCTGTTTCCATGATGATCAATGTTGTGCGATGGGTAAGTGTATGGATTGGGTTTAGAGACTGACACAGCCACTGACTATATTTAACCTCTCTAGGTCCCATGTACAACATCGTGATAACAGTGCCTGAATCATAGAGTTGTCATGAGGTTCAAATGAATGGATACATAGAAAGTGCTTAGGATGGTGCTTGCATAGGTAGTCATCAATGTTAGCTAGTAGTTGTAACAACTACCAACATTTACTGAATTTAGTTTAGAAAGGTTACTTACATGTATTATCTGCCATAATATCCACAATCCTCTTAGTTTTGTATTATTACCTTCATTTTAAGAATGGGAAAACATGACTGAGGGAGGGCAAGTCTATTGCTCAATATCATCCTGGGATTAGTGGAGCCAGTGTTTGAACGTAGATCAACTCAGCCTAGCCAGTAGCTTAACCTACCTCTCCAGTGCCTTGTCATTTGTTTAACTGAAGACACACTTTAGAACTTTAAAGGAAAGCAAGTCACATTTGGTCAAACACCAATTGCTTATCAAGTCAAATACCAAAGCAAAAGAGTCCAAAGCAAACAATCTGAAGCACTGCAACACTTAGGAATCTCTTGCCTAATGCAAAAAGTGTCTTATTCTGATAATGGGAGTGTACTGTGTAACTAAGCATAAGATGGGAGAGCATGTAGTCAGTTTTTAGTCTGCATTGAACCCTCATTCTGCTCTTCAAAGTGCTATATCTCTTACTAGATTATTTGCTTAATATTGAGAAAATAATGGAGGTAGCTTTTAAGAATTTAAACGTGTATTAAATGTTGACATTGGAAAAACATGCTAGATTTTACTCTAGCATGTTTTTGAAAATATTTCCTTGCTTTTGTAGAATTTACTATGCAAAGAGTAGAATAAAACATAAACATTATTAAAATATATGAAGCATTAATATGAAGCATCTTCTATAAAACATTATTAGTAGTATTTTAATTGCATTTTAGGTTTTGGGGTACATGTGAAGAACATGCAAGATTGTTGCACAGGTACACACATGGCAGTGTGATTTGCTGCCTTCCTCCCCATCACTTCTATCTGCCATTTCTCCCTATGCTATCTCTCCTCAACGTCCCACGCCCTGCTGTCCTTCCTGTATTTCCCGCTGACAGACCCAAGTGTGTGATGCTCCCCTCCCTGTGTCCATGTGTTCTCATTGTTCAATGCCCATCTATGAGTGAGAACATGTGGTGTTTGATTTTCTGTTTTTGTGTCAGTTTGCTGAGACTGATGGTTTCCAGGTTCATCCATGTCCCTACAAAGGACACCAACTTATCATTTTTGATGGCTGCATAATATTCCATGGTGTATATGTACCACATTTTCCCTGCCCAGTCTGTCACTGATGGGCATTTGGGTTGGTTCCAGGTCTTTGCTATTGTAAACAGTGCTGCAGTGAACATTCGTGTGCATGTGTCCTTATAGCAGAACTATTTATAATCCTTTGGATATATACCCAGTAATGGGATTGCTGGGTCAAATGGAATTCCTATTTGAAGGTAATGGCAGAACATATCTCAAAATAATAAAAGCTTTTTATGACAAACCAACAGCCAATATCATACCGAATGGGCAAAAACTGGAAGCATTCCCTTTGAAATCTGGCACTAGACAAGCATGCCTTCTCTCACCACTCCTATTCAATATAGTATTGGAAGTTCTAGTCAGAGCCATCAGGCAAGAAAAAGAAATAAAGGGTATTCAAATAGTTAAGGAAGAAGTCAAATTGTCTCTATTTGCAGATGACATGATTGTATGTTTAGAATGCCCCATCATCTCAGCCCAAAATCTCCTGAAACTGATAAGCAACTTCAGCAAAGTCTCAGGATACTAAATCAATGTGCAAAAATCACAAGCATTCCTATACACCAATAACAGACTTAAAGAGAGCCAAATCAAGAACGAACTGCCATTCACAATTGCTACCAAGAGAATAAAATACCTAGGAATACAACTAACAAGGAACATAAAGAACCTCTTCAAGGAGAACTACAAATCACTGCTCAAGGAAATAAGAGAGGACATAAACAGATAGAAAGACATTCCATGTTCATGGTTAGGAAGAATCAATATCATGAAAATGGCTATACTGCCCAAAGTAATTTACAGATTCAACACTATCCCTAACAAGCTACCAATGACCTTCTTCACAGAACTAGAAAAAACACTTCAAACTTCATATGGAACCAAAAGAGAGCCTGCATAGCCAAGTCAATTCTAAGCAAAAAGAACAAAGCGGGAGGCATCACACTACCTGACTTCAAACTATACTACAAGGCTACAGTAATCAAAACAGCATGGTACTAGTACCAAAACAGAGATATGGACCAATGGAACAGAACAGAGGCCTTGGAGGCAACACAACACATCTACAACCATACAATCTTTGACAAACCTGACAAAAACAAGCAATGGGGAAAGGATTCCCTGTTTAATAAATGGTGTTGGGAAAACTGGCTAGCCATATGCAGAAAGCAGAAACTGGATTCCTTCCTGACACCTTACACTAAAATTAACTCCAGGTGGATTAAAGACTTAAACATAAGACCTAACACCATAAAAACCCTAGAAGAAAATCTAGGCAAAACCATTGAGGACATAGGCGTAGGCAAGGACTTCATGATCAAAACACCAAAAGCATTGGCAACAAAAGCCAAAATAGACAAATAGGACCTAATCAAACTCCATAGCTTCTGCACGGCAAAATAAATAGTCATTAGAGTGAATCGGCAACCAACAGAATGGGAAAAATTTTTTGCAGTCTACCCATCTGACAAAGGGCTGATATCCAGAATCTACAAAGAACTAAAACAGATTTACAAGAAAAAACAAACAAGCCCATTCAAAAGTGGTCGAAGGATATGAACAGACACTTTTCAAAAGAAGACATACATGAGGCCAACAAACATATGAAAAAATTTTCATCATCACTGGTCACTAGAGAAATGCAAATCAAAACTACAATGAGATACCATCTTACACCAGTTAGAATGGCAATCATTAAAAAATCTGGAGACAATAGATGTTGGAGAGGATGTGGAGAAATAGAAACACTTTTACACTGTTGGTGGGAGTATAAATTAATTCAACCATTGTGGAAGACAGTGTGGCAATTCCTCAAGGACCTAGAAATATAAAACATTATTGAATGAAGAAAAGGGAAGCAAGAAATAAAAGGAATGAGAAGTTGCTGAATGCTGCCATGGGACAGACCCTATCCTAGGTATTATTATATTCATCATAGCATTCACCGAGTGAAAAATAACTAAACCAGGACCAAAAAAAGGTGTGGAAAATGTGTATATGGCTAACTCAATTTTCCATGGGCAGATGTAGGTTTCAAACTTAAATCTTACTCAGATATAACTTTTATCTTGAATATCCATTCTATTTGGTTTTGGGATTTTTTTCTTCCTGTACATTAAGACATAAATTTAGCAAAGCAAGGGCAGGAAAGGAGGTGTCCTTTAAACCAAAATACTTAATTGCCGTCAATGCAGGAAAATATTAACTAGAAAACATACAGATGCAAATGTTCTCTGCTTTAGAATGAACATTATCCTAAGAGATCATGACATATATTTACAGCAATAATATAGAAAAGGGAACATATTGTACAAGAAAAGATGAAGAATATGAGCTACTTTCTTTAGTCTGATTTCTAAAGTATAATTTTAGTATTTAAGCTAGAGGCATTGTAACTTTCCAGAATATAAAATGTATCTACATTCAAATATTGGTTTTGGAATACAAAATAATATTTCGAAGTCAAGTAGAAATGAATTTGTTCATTATCTACTCTTTTGGATAATTGCCATTATTGCTATTTCTCCTTGGGCAGATAATTGAAAATTGACTATATAAATTGT